TACGCGAGACATGGTGCAACTATCCCAGCTTTCCCACTCTCTTTTCCTAGATTTTCCCTTCCTTTCGCGCATCTACTTTTCTTTCTTTCTCTCTTCATTCTCTTTCTCTTTCTTTTCCTCCATTTTTATCCTTATTCGTCTCCATCAACATTTCTCTTTCTTTTTTGCTTTCTCTATCTCTTCCTACCTCTTCTTTGCATCTCTATTTTCTTCCTTCTTCCGCGGTACCTCTCGAGCTTGCAATTGGTTGGAGTAATATTCTCTCGCATACATACATACATACATCGCCCGTGTATCTTGTACGTACCTATTACTACTCAGTAACAAGTGGGTATTATACCGGGGATTGGCGATGCCATTACTGTCCTGAACAGTCACCCGTTCCGACGAAGGGGACGACATCGCGCCATCGATGGCCAGCGCGGTTTATGCGTCGCACTAGTTGCCGTCCCTTATCCCCGGGTTTGCTATAGTTTTCCAGATCGCGGTTACGCGGTTACGGGTTATTGCGTTGTACTATCGCCGAACTTCGATCTTTCCTTTGCCAAACTAAATTATGTGATAGCTCAATCCTTTGCAATTGCACTGTGAATGCTGTGTTCATGAATGAGATCGATTATGCAAATTGCATCAAGAAGATACATTTTTAAAATGCATTTTGTCTACGTATACGTTATTATAAAATTTATATCTTAAAATTTTAATGTTATTTGTCATATCGGAATTTGTTATCATATATTAACTTTTCGTATTAAAAAATATTTTTAAACCGTCAAAATCCAAATATTAATTAATTTACAAAAGACTTTCTCTTTGCAAAATTATTTCAAATGTCTAAAATTTCTAAATGTAAATTGGCAAAATGGTTTACTTAATTTTAATTAATAATGTAATGTCATAAATAAATGATTTTAATATCCTTTCCTTCAGCGATCTTCTTTTCTATAAGTGACATTTACCTGATTTGAACTAGACTGTTTCCTGCACTGATCGAATAATATATCCTTGATTAACAATGGATCTTCAGTAGCAACAAGCAAGTTTCTACCTCCCATTCGTTTCTTTGACTACAAAACTTCCAGAGAATTATCTGAAGTACGCCTCGCATTTTCCCAAAAAGCGGTAAAATCCTTACCAGGGTCTTTTTTCGTGCGTTCATCGTAAAAGAGCGTAGCAAAGGAATGGAGCAAAGGAACGGCGTAAAGAGGGAAAGACGGGCAGGAGGGGGGAAGGGGGGGGCCTCGGTAATGACTGTCGCTACTTTTCCGCCGTGTCGGAAGCGCATTGCACCATTTCCGTCAGACCGGAAGTGCGGTAACAAAGCGCTTCCGGCATGCGGTCTCAAGAAGGTTGTTACGACGAACGCGGCAGTACTCGGTGACATTTCAATGAACTTTGCGGCGAGTACCGTTCTCCTCCTAAAGTTCAGCGGGTCTAACGTGCGTTTCGGGTGTTGACGAACCGGCGGTATTAAGTGTCCTATTATACGTCCTCGCGAGCGATATTAACTTGACTCCCGACCACCGAAGCGACCGATATACCACCGAACGCATAGTGTAGTCGCAAACTACATAAAATCGCAAACTATTAACCTCATTTCTTATAACAAAAAGAACATTCGTCAGTTGAACGTACTTCGAGTACTTAAGATCGAACACGCTCGTTTCCGCGTCACGCATTTCGCTCGACGCAACGTTATACGTTACAGATCACGCAAAGTCTAAGTTCACATTCAGATCTCTAAATTCAAGAAAATGATAAATACAAATTCTATTTTATTGAATTAGATATTTGCATAACGAATATTAATTCGTACAAGAAATAAAGCACATAAATTACATAATAATTATCTAATAAAATACATAAATTTTTGTTCTATATTTGCAACATATTGCCGTGTCATAGAGTCATGCAAAACACCTGCGAATAGGAAATAATTTACTGGCATTGTTTCCGATCTCAAAGTGTACCTGGGTGCAACTTATTCAAATCTTTGCAGCGCGAAGACGTGAAATAAAAACGAAGTCTGGGAAAAAGCCGGCGTTATTTATGAAAATTACATCTCTCGTTTCACACATCGTCTTCCAAAAAGATGAAGGCGTTTATGTTGGATTCGTCGGATTATACACATTACACGATACCAGACGTGTTATTTCGTGTACCAAGCATTTGCATGTCAGCTTGCATGATCTAAGATAACTTTTGTATATTCCAACAAATTTGAGAAACTGATAGTACCAATTCAAGAAACTTCGATTATTTGTTGTCTATTCGAAGTTATCCATTGGATCATGTTGCGAGAAATCGTATTATCCGATCGGTACTAAAAAGATATTCTTATTATTCGTGATCCAGGTTTTAAATTCAAGTTTCTTTTACTCCAATAAATCTATTTCATTACTTTATCATGAATTTTATTCATGAATTTTACTGCAATGTTTATTAGATCATTTTATAAGATACAACATTGATTTATTTGGTAAAACTTTAAATTATAAAAGAAAAAGATATTGTGACAATCAAATTAATTTTGCACTCTAAAGTAAAAATGAATTTAGAATTAGTGGAAAAATTAATCACAAATAACAAATAAAAAATATATATAGGTCATTGTCTCGGATATTAAATCGTCTTGAGGCCTTGTCTATGTCGGGAAGTTATCTCTATCTTATATTTCTTCCGAGAATATTTTATTTCTCGCAGCCAAAGTTCCGAAGTTGGGATTCGAAATTTTGGCACTGAAACATTCTGCGTTTGTGATAGATGAGATTTAGTTGGAACTTCCAAGCAAGGTTGTCATACGCAACATAAAAGTGACGTTTGTCCTGATTTCAAGTCTGTACCAAAACGACCGTTCTATTTCTCACAATTCAAGATTTGTTTTTCCCGATTTCTGGCAAATGTTTTTCAGTTCCGAGATTGCTAGACACCTTTCCTAGATTGTCGAGATGCGTGATTACTGGTCGCATTCGTGCGTCGCAATTTCGGCTATACGCGCGTCGTAAATTATGTTCCTTCGGATTTTGCCATCGAAATAAAACGCTAGAAGGGTGGTCAGGAAAGAGAGGTTGAGTGAACGGGCTGAGAGGGTGGCGCGCACGCGTTGTAAAAATGCGATGGTAGGCAAAGCTGGGAAAATAGCATCGGAAAAGATACAGAGTACGATGAATAGCCGCAAACAGAGAGAGAGAGAGAGAGAGAGAGAGAGAGAGAGAGAGAGAGAGAGAGAGAGAGAGAGAGAGAGAGGGGGGGATAGAAAAGAGAAAAAGGTATAATTAAAATTAGCGCAATTCAGTCACTCGCCGGTAATTCGCATGCCTGGCATTTATATTATTAAGTCGCACAAATTTCTCTCGTCACTTTACCATTGTCGCTTTTGTATGCGTGCATTCGTACAACCTTTCTGTCGTGTTTGTCCTATCGACTATTCCACGTTTTCCATATTATGCCTCTCTCGTGTTTCTTCAGCGGCGACCGAACGTCGTTTCGTTGCTGCAATTATCGTCGCCAGGGCAAGGAAATAATCTCGGGTTTCGAAGCGAATTACGTTTAATTGCTCTTATTGCTAGGGCCAGTCGGCTTTATTATTTCCTCTTCAATCACGCACTCCGAACGCGCCGTCATTTGACTTTTTAAGCTGTCCCTCCCGTCCTACCACTGCCCTGCCGACGTCGACGCGTTTCCACATCCGTGGTTTTTCTACGCGCGACAAAAACACCGCGTTCCAAATGAACGTGGCGCGCGAGCCCGGTTACGAGTAATTCTCGTTAACCCGCTATTTCACTCTGCTACGCCGTCGGCCGAAAGGATTGGTATTATAAACGTCAGCGTCAACTCGTTCGCAAATGGATGAACCATTTCAATTCTTCGCGTTAGAATCACTTCCGATAAAGTTTGCATCCCTAATAGTGATTTTTAGCGTTTAGAAGATTAAACTTCGTACCAGAAACGATACTTTGGCATATAATTTCCCTCAATGGCGTTGATTATTTCGTAATATAGTCTTGTTGATATTTTTAACGTAATGTTCAGTCGTTATTCGTTATACATCGTTTTTTGTGTGAGCAATTAATTACACTATCCATCACCATTTTGAAAACAAAATCGTCGTTTTTGATCTCTGAAAGTAAATAAGTTTTCTTACCTTTGGATGTGTTCTCCTAGGAAATGCTACCTTTGGGTCGATCTGAAACAAAAAGAAATCGAACATCCAATCATCTTATTTGAAACTTAATTTATACACAAAAATAATGTAAAGCATCGTATAAAAATTTACATGTAGTAACTTGTTTAAGTTTTTTTAATGATAAATCTCAAACTGCCTCAAAAGTTCCGAGTTTCGTCCTGGCGAGGATATAACCACGAAAAGAACATTACGCGCCACAAGCGAATTCAAACTCGGAGACAAATCTTATTCGCCTGCAAGTTTCGCGGAGGGTAAAGAGAAGAAACAAATATGAAAATACGTATTATACGCGAGCGCAGTGGGAAAACGCGAAAGAGGGAGGAAACAAGAATGAACGAATGAGGGGGGAAACGTCTCGCCGGACTGTTTTCCCAGTTGAAATCCCCATTACAATTAATTACGTAATAATAAAGAGTAGGTATTCAAGAACTCCAAATCAACTAACCGGAACCTGGACTATTGCCGCCACCATCGCCTCTTTTCACTTCGCAGACGATCCCGAGGGGAATGAACGGGCCGACTAAGTTGAACGTAAGGACACCTTATGTTCCACGTTTCGTGTAAAAAGGGTGAAACCTGAATGCCCCACGAAACCATAGAACTTCTAGTGCGACAACCGCGTACATTTCCGACGCAGCTGATTGGTTCAGTTTATAATGCACCTTTTTGTTTCCCGATTCTCTGAGAGTGGTAGTTTCTTGTTAATTATTAAAGTTTACAAAATAAATGTACTCGCTGATTAATAAATATGTACTGCATTATATTTATATTGTCGATTTAATATGTTACATTATATTGTTAACATTACATTGTGCGCGCGTCACTATGCGTTGGACTTGCATTATTTACAGTATGTACTATGAGATAAACAACATCATGAATATTAAGCTCATGGAAAGCCGTCGGAGTATTTATTGTTAATATTAGAATTTGTTGGAAATACCATCTTGCTACTTAAACGCGGTGAAAGGATCAGCTGATTCCGCCAGTTGTTCTAATGCTAAATGAAATAACATTCTTTGTCCTCCCTCCTCTCTTTCCCCTCCCCTCTCTCTCTCTCTCTCATCTCTCTCTCTTCTTCTCTCTCTCTCTCTCTCTCTCTCTCTCTGCATTCTCGGTGCATTCAGTGCTAAACGTGACTATTTAGTTTTGAATTTTGCTATGCTATGTTACCACTGTTCTGCTGACTAGGAAACTATTTCGAGTAGAGAGTTGTAATAATGGTTCTTCACAAATGTAAAATATGTTTACAAAAGAAAAAAATATATGTACAATGTTACACGTTCTTTAAAAAAATTAAAATAAATCTCAAGAAATATCTCAGAAATATGAGTAATTTTATGTTATCAATACATTATTAGCACAAATTATTTTTATTGTTTATCTAAGATTTTATTACACAAGCCATGTAAATAAAACCAAGCCAAGTAAATTGAACGTTCTACATACACGACTATTCCACAGCCACGTGATAGCGCTCCCCAGAAATTCCCAAAATAGTGCTACCCACCACTATTACTCTCACAATAAAATCTTGATTCCATTCTACATCACTACGCTTTCGCGAGATAACGATCGCAATCTCGAATTATATTATTAGGTCGGCGCGTGGCTTCCGGCGCGCTTTCGCAATTAGCTTTGAAAGCGTTATTGGCACACCATTAAAAAAAAAAAAGAAGTATATTCTATACAAACCGAGGGAACGAGTTTTACTCTTCTCTAGCACCAGGCTTTCTCGTAACAGAGAGCGACCGACACCCCAGGCGGTGGAAGCCACGAACGTGGTAATGACAAGCAAGGGAACCCGCCGTCGCCATCACCACCACCAGGCACCGTCACCATCATCATCCACCCCGACGCAATGCGGTGGTTCTCTCTCTATCTCTCTTCCCGCACTCGGGAACCACTCCCGTTTGCATAATCCCCTACGGCGAAGTTCACACCGGTCGCTCGTACGCTCGCGGACAGAAGAGGTGTCGTCGTCGTCGTCGTCGTCGTCGTCGTCGTCGTCGTCGTCGTCGTCGTCGTCGTCGTCGTCGTCGTCGTCGTCGTAGTCATCGTCGTCGACAACGGCAGGAGACGAGAGACGAGAGAAAGTCTTCCCATCGTTCTTTCACTTTGGTAATACCTCTTCTTCTGATCTCGCCTTCCGATAAGGGAAAAGCAGGCGGGGATGAAGGAAATGCCTCTCAAAACTTTGCTACTGCACCCGCAGGAGCTATTTGCAACGGATTTCGCTGTACACGTCGTACGTCGGATACGAAGTTGCGAGCTATGACTATGCTTTAGATATATATACTGGAGAAACTGGAACAACCGATGACATGCCTGTCTCATAGATGCAAATAGACAAGATGAGAAAAATTTTAATGTTATAGTCATTAAAAATTTATCTTGTAATATTAAATAAATTATTACTGTTTCTGCAAAGAATTTCTTTCTCTTTTAAAGGATTTTAATGTTTAAATAAATTACTTTAATCCATTTAATGGCAGTTTCGAATTAATTTCAATATGTTTGTATATTTTAGATATATTTTTATAATATAAATTTATGAATAAAATAGAATTGTAATTTCGAGATCTTCACACTGTGTGTAATTCAAATTGCGTTGCAAAATTGTAACGAATACCAAGGAAATGCTATCGCTTTTCTCTATCTGATGTAATAAACGTTGTCAACGAGACGCAATTCGTGATCGTTCAGTCGATCAACGTGAGATTCTTCGTTGTCCCATTCATTCGATTCGTCTCACTGTACGTGGTTTCGCGAGGGCAGAACAGAGAGTTGGTAACGAGGAGATAGAAAACGAAACGAAGAATGAGTTAGACAGAGAGAAATCTAGGCATGCGAAGATTGGTGAGAGAAGGAGAACGCTGCCGGGAACGAAGAGGTAGCATTACCGAGAAAAATCGAGAGGCTCGAAGCCATTTCGCAAACATAACCCAGTTACCCGATATCTCGCGAAATGATCGGCCGCCAACCGTCGTCGTCGTCGTCGTCGTCGTTCTCGTCGTCATCGTCGTCGTCGTTGTCGACGACGATAGAAATTCAATCTGGTTGGCACGCCTGGAAATTGGAAGAGCCACCTACCCTTGGATGCTTCTACCCTGAAGGGGCGCGGTAGAAAGGAGAG